CTCGCCAGAAATACTAGTGATTCTTGGTTACCCTCGTGTGGTAAATTAAATAACTGCAAGTGCAAGGTACTTTTTCAAAATAAAATATATTTGAAACTAACCCTGAAAGGTAGACAGACCTACCTAGGCCTCTTTGTGGATGTCTGAGATTTTAAGCAAGTTTTTCGCAAATTATACTGAACAGAATTAAAGTCCATACGCCCCAAGTTGTAAACGTCTTAACATTTTATTTATTTTATGGCTTTGGCAAAGGCTGAGCCAGTTTTTCCAATAGTTTGTGAACACTGCAGCAGCATCATCATGTCATATCAAAGTTGATTGGTTGTGTACACAGATTTGCAGATGTTATCGCAGGTGCAGTGAAATGCTTGTGTTTCTAGCTCTAAGAGTGCAGTAATACATAGCCATTTTCTTATCACAATACACACATAATGCAGATTTTTTTATTAAGAAATTAAGAAATATCAGAATTAGCAATGTCAGAGACCAGAATATAAATATATATATACATATACATATAATGTATATAAAAATATATAAATATAATGGTGTGTGTATAGACAGTATGGAGAATATATAAATAGAAAAGGTCTGTACAGCAGTAGTTATAATAATAATAATATGCCATTTAGCAGACGCTTTTATCCAAAGCGACTTACAGTCATGCGTGCATACATTTTTTTGTTGTGTATGTGTGGTCCCTGGGATCAAACCCACTACCTTGGCATTACAAGCGCCGTGCTCTACCAGCTGAGCTACAGAGGACCACACCTTGGATGAGCCATGACTAGAATACAGTATATACATATAAAGTGGGTAAAACAATATGTAAACATTATTAAAGTGACCAGTGTTCAATGACTCTATGTGCATAGGGCCGCTGTCTCTAAGGTGCAGGGTAGAGTATCGGGTGATAGACGGCTAGAACAGTGACTAAGGTTCAGGGCAGGGTCCTGGGCAAAGGCCGGCTAGTGGTGACTGTTAAACAGTCTGACAGACTGGAGATAGAAGCTGTTTCTCAGTCTCTCGGTCCCAGCTTTGATACACTTGTACTGTCTCCGCCTTCTAGATGGTAGTGGGGAGAAATTGGCAAAATCATACTGCACTCATGATATCCTTTTCACTATCTTCTGGCCAGATAACTGCAAGGAGAGAGATAGAGGGATTATTATATAAAAATACCTTTATTGGCCCTGTAGTTACATCATATGAGAACAATCTTTACTTAATTTTACCAGAACTAAAAAGTTAAAACCAAGCCCCCCTCTTCATCCACCGTACACAGAAGCCCCCCCCCCCCCCCCATGCCCCACACCTCTGCAAAGTCTCTCTCTCTCTCTCTCTCTCTCTCTCTCTCTCTCTCTCTCTCTCTCTCTCTCGCTCTCTCTCTCTCTCTCTCTCTCTCTCCCTCTCTCTCTCTCCTCTCTCTCCTCTCTCTCTCTCTCTCTCCCTCTCTCTCTCTCTCTCTCTCTCTATATATATATATATATATCTGCAAGTGCAAAATAATTACAGAGATGACCTACCTAGTTTATCATCCTTCTCTGTGTCTCATTTGAAGCCACTGTGGGATGAGTTTGGATGTGGTGAGGTTGAGAAGTAAAAGTCAGCAGGCAGCTCAGTCTTCTTTCATCCCTGGGGCCAAATGAATTATCTTCGTTGCTCTCATCTGGGCAGTAGGGAACACGTCACTTAAATATACCTGTGTCTGGATCCTGAGTCCAATGTCTTTCTTTGCCATGGTTATAGCTTGGTATGTCTAGGTGAGCAACTGGAAGGTTGGTCCATGTCAGAAGGCAAAATGGGGAATGCAGGTTGGGCCATGTCAGAGGTCAAAATGGCTGCATTTGAAACCATTTCAAATAAATCTCTACTCATTGATTCTTGAAGAATATAACATAAATGCCTAATTTGCTTAGGTTTTGCTTCATTATTCCATTTTATTATTCCATTGTTTACATAAAACATGAACGTAAACAAAAAATATATACAGTATAGTTTCTAGTATAGCTATCATGTCAATGCCAGACTGTCAGTCATTTTATCTAGAGAACTATCTATGAATTAAAGAGTCACATTTCGCTAGCCCCATCCCTCAGCTGTATACCAAAACACCTACAGTATATCTAACTGAAGTGGCGGGCTGCCGTTTTGCTGAAAACCAATCCCATATTGTAACTTGAATGCAGGTTATATTTTTTATATCGTCAGATCATTAGACTAGATTTTTCATTATAAGTTTTGTTTGGTAGAGTGATTACACTGGTGACCCTTGGAAAGTGACTGTCTGATAGACTTAAATGTCTTGTTCTGTGTAGGCATGCAGGAACTGTGCTTTGACAATCTGGAGAGAAAAAAAATGGTGTTAATTAGTCTGACTCCTGTGACCATCAGATCAGTGTGTACATTCTTATCTCTTGGTTTGTGACAGACAGGACTTAGGGCTAGCCTCGTCCGCAAGCCTTCAAGCATCTTACTTAAATCTTACATAAACAAGAATAAAGTGTGGTGTCTGGCACTGACAGGCTACCTAGGGGCTAAATGTGGATGTAACCTTACATCATTCACAGACAGCAGGTTGACACATCACTCTGTGTAGACACACAGTCGTCATATAACTTGTGTACACAAAATGTCATGATTGATTATGTATCAATTTATAAACCTATGCAGTCATATAGGCCTACCCATTGCTTCGTAAGTACTAGAATGACAATAAAACAATTTGAACCAATGAGTTATAACAGTTTATTAATGTTTCAGAAATATAAACCACATCTGTAACTTATAAAACCTTTAAAACTCCCCCTAACCCTCCTTAGAATTATGCCTCTCTAGCCACCCATCTGGTTTTCAAAACACTTAGCATCCACATATCTAAAGGACATGCCTTGAAGATGTTCCTGGTAGGCCCTCCGATCGTTAGACGCTAGCCTGGCAAGTGGCTAACCTGAGGCAGTGACTGACAGACTTAAATCTGTGGTTGGTCTGAGCAGGAACTGTCACAATCCAGTCAGAGGGTTAATATGAAGAATGTGTGGGTTTAAGATCATGCGGAGCTTCGTGCAGTACAGCTGTATGAAGTAGAGTGTGGAGGTCCCAGCATCATGTATATATCGTTCCACCACAGTGGGTCAACTCACAGCAAGTGATGCTCTCTGGCTTGCCAGGAATGCTAGTGATTCTTTGTCTCTCCCGCGCGGTATATACAATAACTGCAGGAAGGTTTTATGTCAGTTTAATCTCCAACAAGTGATCCAATATTGAACAGACATTTTATTGATATAAGGCACTTCTATCACTGCTTTTCATCATCAATATTTGACTCAGTAGACATTTATAGGTGTCCTTTATAGTCTTTTCTATGGCTTTGGCAATGGTTGTGCTAGTTTCGTCAATAGTAGTCAACAGCACCACTATGTGGCCAGAAGGAGATATTGCAGAGAGATGCTGTTTTACAAAATCACATGGACATGCGCGCGCGCGCGCACACACACACACACACACACACACACACACACACACACACACACACACACACACACACACACACTCCATTTTATTTTCATTTTTTGCTTTAAACTTTTTCTGGCTATTATCTAAAACACAAAACCAATCATATACTATTTGTTGTCTGACAAAATACCATCACCTGCTGAAATGGAACATAGTCTTTGCAGAGGTCCCATTTCTATTTTTTCCATAATTCAGCAGGTATTCCAGCCTCAGTTACCCACATGGAACAAACCAACAGTTAGGCTGTTTTAGTCCTTTTCCATTTGCCAGACAAGAGAAGATAATTTGCTCAGAGAGAGAGAGAGAGAGAGGGAGAGAGAGAGAGAGAGAGAGAAAGAGAGAGAGAGGTAGAACGTTTTAGAGAAAAGCAAGGGGCACACGCAGAATCGCAAACTGAATGGCTGTGTGTGTGTGTGTGTGTGTGTGTGTTTGTGTGTGTGTGCAGTTGAAGGCTGAACCCTATGGAGGGCAAAAGGACTAATTGTTAATTATGGTGGGCTGATGAAAAATAACTCAAGTGTAAATGAATGTGTCAGTTTGGAGAAGCGCCATAGCACAGACACACCTTCTTCCTCCAAAGTGGAAAATCTGCATTATTTAAAACTTGATAGAGCACACTGTGGGATGTGGAAAAGGGAGCTAGCTGACTGCTATTATTCACAGATTAATTAAACTTCAGATGTTGTTGGAAATATGAAGGGTGAAATTAAATGAGAAAGAACATCAACACTAAGGAAACAGGGCAGGGGTGATATGGATTTGGAAGGAGGGGTGGAAAGATGAGGGATGAAGAGGCTAGAACAGGAGAGAGGAGGGTTAAAGCCAAAAAGGAGTGAGGGGTGGAAATAAAAGAAATAACATGATAATGATGGTGGAAGTTGAACGAGGGCAATGGCATGGAAAACTGCTTATGACTGCATATCTGCTAAATATTTGTATGTGACCAATAACATTTGATTTGATTTGATTTAGTGGTACTGACGCGGTATCAGCCAGGTCAGTATATTATAGTGGAAAGGTTGAAAGTGGTAGAACTGTGCGACTGTACTGCAGCAAAGGGGGATCCAGAACCACAGTACTGTTCAGTAACACGAAGAACAAACTAAGAAGGATCCCCGGATGATTCCACCTACACTTCTCATCTATGGTTGTGTCCCAAATGGCACCCTAATACCTACATAGTGCACTACTTTTGACCAAAGCCCTATGGGCCCTGGTCAAAAGTAGTACACTATAGGGAATAGGGTGCAATTTGGGACTCAGCCAATATCTCCCCTAAATAATTCAGAGTCCTATCCACCATCTGTGGCCCTACTAGTCCTCTCTTTGCCTTCATATGCCCAATAAAAATTATCCTAGTGTAAGAAACATGGTAGACCCTCTCTTTTAAATAATTGAGGTGGTGTGAATGAGTGTGTATACACCAGGAAGGCGGTAGAATGCATGGAATAGGACTCTAGTGTCCTCCTGGTGCCCTGATCCTAGTGTCCCTCTATCCCCGAGGCCTGAGGGCAGGTCTGGGGCAGGTGCAGGGCAATGTCCTTCAGACTGTCTCTCTCCTGTCTGATCTCCTGCAGGTCCTGTTCCAGGTGGGTCAGCTGGCTCTTCTGGTCCTGGGCGGCTGATCGTAGAGTCTGGATCTTCCCATTCAGGAACGGGCTCTCCACGCTGCCACGCAGAACACCCAACCGCACCGCCGTCTCACTCAGTATATGGTCAAACCGTTCCAGCGCCACGCTCCCATCTGGTCGACAGAAAACAACAGCGTATTTGAGGTACAACATTGTACTTTTTCTAAGAGTGTAGTTATTTTGAAAAAGCGTGAGACACAGAAAGAGGGATGAACAGGGTACTTGAGCAGGCCTACACTCTTAGAAAAAAAGGTGCTATCTAGAACCTAAAAGGGTTCTTCGGCTGTCCCCATAGGAGAACACTTTGAAGAACCCTTTTTGGTTCCAGGTAGAACCCTATTGGGTTCCATGTAGAACCCTCTAGGGAAGGAGTTCTACATGGAACCCAAAATAGTTCTACCTGGAACCGAAAACGGTTCTACCTGGAACCAAAAAGGGTTCTCCTATGGGGACAGCCGAAGAACCCTTTTGAAACCCTTTTGCCATCAGCAGCGCTCTTGTCTTGTGAGGTCACTGTGACGTCTGTGTGCCACCCTGTTGTGCCCACCAATAACGGGGTTGGCCAGCATAATGGAGGGACATTTCTCCATCAGGATCGTGCCACACACCCCGCCAGCTACAAGTTACTCCTTGTGACTCATTGACAGGGCCAGACAGGAACATTTAAATCAATAAAACTGTAGCAATATATTTTCTGTAGCAGTATATCTGGTTTAATTTGGATTAATTATACCGGTATATATATACATTTATAAACTGGGTGGTTCGAGCCCTGAATGCTGATTGGCTGACAGCTGTGGTATATCAGACCGTATACCACGGGTATGACAAAACATTTATTTTTACTGCTCTAATTATGTTGGTAACCAGTTTATAATATCAATAAGGCATCTCTGAGGTTTGTGATATATGGCCAATATAACACGGCTAAGGGCTGTATCCAGGCACTCCGCGTTGCGTCGTTCATAAGAACAGCCCTTAGCCGTGGTATATTGCCATATACCACTCCCCCCCGTGCCTTATTGCTTAATTATATAATTCCTAGAGAGGTGGGTTGAGGTCAGGATAATCCTTCTCCATCTGAGGAATCCATTTGGACCAATTTACTATTGACCATTCTAACTTCTCTTTCTGACATATGACTGACTGGATGGAAGTCAAGTCTGATCAGTGGCGAGGGCAGTAACATGTAAGTGTAGACGTTTCTGGTTGATCTGACATGTTGCATTTGTTACTGCATGAAATTTATGTGCATCCCAAATGGTACCCTATTGTTCTACTTTTTACCTGATGGGCCCAAAAGTAGTGCACTATATTGGGAGTAGGATGCCGTTTGGGACAGTCAAAACTGTTCGCTGCTCTGGCACCCCAATGGTGGAACAAGCTCCCTCACGACGCCAGGACAGCGGAGTCACTCACCACCTTCCGGAGACATTTGAAACCCCACCTCTTTAAGGAATACCTGGGATAGGATAAAGTAATCCTTCTAACCCCCCCCCCCCCCAAATTGTAAAGTGGTTATCCCACTGGCTATAGGGTGAACGCACCAATTTGTGAGTCGCTCTGGCTAAGAGCGTCTGCTAAATGACGTTAATGTGCCCTTGAGCAAGGCACTTAACCCTAATTGCTCCTGTAAGTCGCTCTGGATAAGAGCGTCTGCTAAATGACTAAAATGTAAAATGTAAATGTAACAAGTAAACGTCAGCAGGTTTGAACTTACCTATTTTACTGATGAGCTGGCTGAGTTTGAGTGAGTAGGCCTCCAGCTGAAGCTTAGCTGCCTGGATGTTCGCCTTTACACTGGCCAGAGACTCTACAGGCTGGAGATCACAGAGGGAGAAAAATACAGTGACATCACGTGAATAGATCAGGGCTTCCAACCCTCTTCCTGGAAATCTACCGTCCTGTAACTTTTCTGTCCAACCCTCCTTTAGCACATCTGATTCTACTGAGTAACTGCTCACCAAGACCTATAAGCTAGAATCCTTAGTTTCTACATCAATTTTTGGACTTATAAATATATGATATACTGTATACCCATTGATTCTTGAAGAATAACACTTTTAAATGCCTCATGAGCCGAGATCAAGTGTCGTACTCATCAGAACCCAAAATATATATATAATAAATGTTCCCCAATATTTGTAAACAACGTAAATGTAAACGATCATGTTGATATCATGGATGGGCAGTCCTTGCATCCATAGCTCAGTCTCATCCCTCAGCTTTTTACCAAAACTGAGGCTGGCAGGGCCGGCGCCAGAACTAATCAGTTGGATGGTCATTTGATTTCTATAGGGGGGGGCAAGTTTTTTTCACGGGACCTTCACATTTTTTAATGGGTGTTATAGTAAAGACCATAGGTGGCGTGTGAGTTTCAAGTTTGGGAAAGCTTACAATTTATCCTACCATTTCTACCGATCTGCATGCCAGTTATGATTTTCATATGTGCATTTTCATGGACCAGTTTCATTTCAATAATAATGTTTTAGTTTCTCAAAATCATTGTCACGTGGTTAATCATAAAAATCTGAATTAAAATGATAAAAATCTAAAAGTTAAAATTCAACTAATGTGAGAGCACCAGCCTCTGCCATATGGTCACATTGATACATCGTGATTCATTGGCGGCTAAAGAAATGAGCGCATGGAACCACTGGTTGGAACCAAAAGTATTTTCCAATCATTTTGTTCTGATAATTATTTTTTTAGTTCTGTTCTACTATTCCGTCCAGCAAAATAAAGTTCTGAACCGGTTAGAATCCCCCAAAAGTACCGGTTTTTATCGTTCCTTTCTGTTCCTTTTTTAACCTCTGATAAAAAATTTTTACATTTAGCTCGTTACATTTATGTAAAAATTTTTACATTTATTAGTAGGAGCGGCATCTATCAAGGAACTTGGAATGTCATTGAACTTCCGAGAGTTGGCTTAACGTTGGACCAGAGCTAATGTTTTTGTAGTTAATAAATCCAATGTGAAACATGATAACTATAGTATCCTTAACTAGCATTGAAAAAGTTAATCCATTCTTCTCTAATTAAAAATCTCTCTCCCTAATTTCTGAATCACGTGTTTTGGTTATACCTCTGCGTTGAGTTGGGCTTGTGCCTGGGTAGTGTGGTTGATTAGTGGCTGTGTTTTGGTTATACCTCTGCGTTGAGTTGGGTTTGTGCCTGGGTAGTGTGGTTGATTAGTGGCTGTGTTTTGGTTATACCTCTGCGTTGAGCTGGGCTTGTGCCTGGGTAGTGTGGTTGATTAGTGGCTGTGTTTTGGTTATACCTCTGCGTTGAGCTGGGCTTGTGCCTGGGTAGTGTGGTTGATTAGTGGCAGTGTTTTGGTTATACCTCTGCGTTGAGTTGGGCTTGTGCCTGGGTAGTGTGGTTGATTAGTGGCTGTGTTTTGGTTATACCTCTGCGTTGAGTTGGGCTTGTGCCTGGGTAGTGTGGTTGATTAGTGGCTGTGTTTTGGTTATACCTCTGCATTGAGCTGGGCTTGTGCCTGGATAGTGTGGTTGATTAGTGGCTGTGTTTTGGTTATACCTCTGCGTTGAGCTGGGCTTGTGCCTGGGTAGTGTGGTTGATTAGTGGCTGTGTTTTGGTTATACCTCTGCGTTGAGTTGGGCTTGTGCCTGGGTAGTGTGGTTGATTAGTGGCTGTGATTTGGTTATACATTTACATTTCCATTTACATATACCTCTGCGTTGAGCTGGGCTTGTGCCTGGGTAGTGTGGTTGATTAGTGGCTGTGTTTTGGTTATACCTCTGCGTTGAGCTGGGCTTGTGCCTGGGTAGTGTGGTTGATTAGTGGCTGTGTTTTGGTTATACCTCTGCGTTGAGTTGGGCTTGTGCCTGGGTAGTGTGGTTGATTAGTGGCTGTGTTTTGGTTATACCTCTGCGTTGAGCTTGGCTTGTGCCTGGGTAGTGTGGTTCTCCTGCTCAGCCAGCTGCTGCAGGGTTGTATCTACAGAGGAGCTGAGCTGGCCAGACAATGTCCTTGTGTGCTTGCCCTGGGTTAGGGTGGCCTTGGCCTCCTGGGCTCAGAGAAAAACACAGACAAAAGAATAGAAAGAATAAAGGAAAGAGACAAATTAACAGGAATCCGAGGGGTGAGGTTTGTTATGTGAATGGAATTTCATTGCTCAAAGCACAGGGTGAGTTGGAAACATAGCTAACGCACGCACACACACAACACACACACAACTATGCCCCCCCCCCCCCCCCACACCCATACTTACTTTAGACAGGGCGTGTGCGGTGTGTTCTGCCTGTTGTGCGGTAGCGTTGGAGAGGGTAGCGCTCTCCAAGGCAGGCCTCAGGACTCTCTCTGTCTGGTTCACCTTCTTCCTGACGTCTTCCAGAACCTTCTCCCTCAGCAGCCTCTCCCTCTTCAGAGCAGCCTTCGTCTGGGCCTGCCTTTGAGGCCACTCTCTCTGTATGTCTGAGGGATGGAGATGGGCAAGGCAGGTTGGCCAGTGACATGGTTACAGAAGTGATAGTAACTGACAATGGGTAGTGTAAGACTATTCTATTCTATTTTATTCCACACAATCCATGTATTAGTAGCACAGTAAGTGAGAAAATATTAGTTCTAGTTCCATTCCATTATATTCCATTTTACTCAGACTCCCCTGATGACATTTCCAACAACAAATCCGAAGTGGCACCTTTTTATTTTATTTTTATTTTTACATATTATTATAATGAATTGAAGGCTGTGAAACTGAAAGTGCATTTGAGACCACAATCGCAGATGCTCTCCCTCCCCACACAAAATGACAAGCGGAGCATATCAGGGTGAAACATATTCGTAATGGTTACATTTGTGTTATAGTTGTTTTTCTCAGTATTCTTTTTTATTTTATTTGATTGGAATAACTCTGTGGGCTGCTATTGCAGTGACGGGAATGCGAAAACTAAGCAAACAGTCGGAAATGTAAAACAACAGAAATGGAAACAAATACAAAATGTTGCAAATGTCACCTTCCAGTTCTCTCCGCAGGGTAATGGCCTTTGACTCCACTTCTTTCCCTGTCACCACCGATGACAGGGCCATGACCTTTGACCCCTGGGCTTGAACTGTCAGCTGCAGAGGCACCAGGGATGGAGAGAGAAAGGGGAGTGAACATCACAGAACCTCAGGGACATGAGTCACATTAGACAGCACAGCAACCTGACCAGGGGGTCAATGACTGAATTAACTCTACCATCTACTTTAGTGTTTCTGAACTCCAGTCCTCGAGTACCCCCAACAGTAGCCTACACATTTGTATTAAGCCCAGACAAACACACCTGATTCAACTTGTCAAATAATAATCAAGAGTTAAACCAGGTGTGTTTGTGGGGGGGGGGGCTCTGGGGCTCATGCGCCTGTCATTGATGTCAATTGTTTTTTAAAAATATAAATAATTTTGACAGTAACCCTCCAAAAAGTCATTCAGAAACCTTTTTAATTTCCATATGTACTAAGAAGCTAAGTGTTTGTTTCTTGGGATTCAAGAATGTGACTGATCAAAGTGCCTCAGGCTTTGAAAAATAAATAATTGAACTGATTGAAAGTAAAGGGATATCGGTGAACAAATGCCGTGGTCAAGGCTATGACAGCGCCAGTACAATCAGACTGAGAGCCTAAAGCTTTGTTCTTAGATAGTTATTTACTAGTTTTAGTTTAGAAAACGATCTCTCCGCAGAAGCGACAGTTACAGGGATGTTTAAAAACAGCTTGATTGCCATGGCAACATCAGGGAAACTGGGCAGAAGGAAGTGATGATAAGGAGTTCTGCAACATCTCTAATTGAGCCTCAACAGGTTACGGAAAGAGATGAACTGTACAGGAAGCTCCGGGGACAGGTCCTCTGGATACTGGACAGCCAATAAAATGGCAGATGCCAACAGACAATCATCTTTAGCGGACAACAGTTCTTGAGGGCAAAAAAAAAGTGGTTTGCGATTACGTTCATACTGGTGAACTGGCGTTTGAGTTGTGTGGTTGCAATACAAACAATCCCTTATCGCTGGTACAGTTTATGTTGGCATGCATCATTCAAGACTAAGCTTTAATTGTGTCCAACGCAATGGACATATAATGCACAATGTCTAAGGAAAGACTGTCTGGGTTGTTAATACTTAGTATAGAAAACAGTCGGGCCCGCAACCTAGGCCTACAGGCCGTGGTGAAAACATTTGAGCACAAAAATGCAAGGCGACGCAGTCGCATACTGTAGCTACTACAAACAAGCACAGACACAGATAAACATTTTTCTAAGAGAAATAAAGAGAAAAAGAGACAGACAGAGAGAGCAAGGAATACTTCAGAAGAATTGCTAGGCTATTTGATGTGTAATCTTTATAAGAAATGCATAAATAGCAGCTAAATTGCAGCTTAATACTGTATATAGCTGTAGATAGTAGGCTACACTGCATACCAAAATGATCCCTAGTAAGCTAGTGTTTTGAGGGTGGACTGACTGATTTGGCATTAATAGTCTGGGTTTACGCACCACAACGTTCTATCCAAGCTGGGAGAGAGCGCGAGGATGGCTCATGTCGTGCAGGTTCAGGTAGGCTATACAGGACAGTTGTATATTCTAGAAAAATCTATTGGTAGCTGATTAATATGCAGTTGTACTTGTATTACTGAACAAGTAATTACATTATTGCAGCCAGCCAGCAGTCTATTGCGGCACCGTGTATAGCGTCGTGAAATGTTAGGCCTAACATGAGAAAACACGAATGATGCAGCCCCCATGTGGATTATGTGTAAATTATTTTGTCTTTTGGTACAGTGTATTCTGTTTATTGTTGTCAGCACCATTTCACCAGGTCACATTTCGGTTACATGTAAATAAATAAATGAAGTCATGATCTACTGTAGTGTGAAGATTTAAAAAAACTTTACTTTGTACATATCCTGTACGGCAGCAATGTTGTTGTGGGCGGTCTGTATTCGAGGCGCCATCTCCTCTCTGATCTTACTGACCAGTTCTTCTTTAGACTGGACATGGAACGCCAGCTCAGATGTCCTGTTGCTCAGCTCATCACCCTGAGGGAAGGGACGCACAGCAGTGATCCATTCATCCATCATTCTATCCATCCATCCATCCATCCATTCCTTCGGTCAGTCAGTCAACTTGAGAGTCCAATGAATTCTTGTTACCTCTGACACTGGTAGCCACTGACCTCTGATTGGTTGGTTCCCGATGTGGGGTTGGGCCTATTTTTGGACAGCTCCAATAGGGAGGAGGTGAGGTTACCAAGGGCAACCATGATCTCAGCAGACTCCTCCTCCAGAGACAGCTGATTGGCTACAGTCTCATTCACCTGGGCCGTCAAATTTTCCTTCATCTGCTGCATGTCTGCCATTCTGAAAGAGAGATAGAGAGAGAGATAGAAAAAGAGAGAGATAGAAAGAGAGAGAGAGAGAGAGAGAAAGAGAGAGAGAGAGAGAGAGAGAGAGAGAGAGAGGAGAGAAGAGAGAGAGAAAGAAAAGAGAGAGAGAGAGAGAGAGAGAGAGAGAGAGAGAGAGAGAGAGAGAGAGAGAGAGAGGGGGGGATAAAGAAAGGGGGGAGTGAAGAGGGAGAGAGAAGGGTTAGATCGTTCAGTGTGTCAATTCTTGAGTGTCCCTCATATTTGCCAATGGACACACGCGTGCATGCACACACACACAAACACACGCACACACACACACACACACACACACACACACACACACACACACACACACACACTCACTCCTTTGTACCCACCCACGCACCCACCAAATTGCTCTGAAAGATTAACACAATTCCCCTGAACCAAGCAGACTAGTGCTGGTATGAAGGTAATCAATTTCAAGTTTCTTGCCTCCCAACTGCTCCCATCAAGGTGTGGCCACCAGAGGGTTTAGCATTTTTACTTTTAAGCGTTTGGGATAATCCTCAGAGCAATATCACGCTAGGAGACGCTGCTCCCTCCATGCTGCTACTCCATGAAAGCAGCCCCAGAAAGCAATAGGCTTAAAGAGGAAGGAATAGAGCTGTTCCCCCGTGGCTAAATGTCTTACTTTCTCAAGTCCAGCGTGCCTTAAAGAGCTGCTAGAAAGAGGCAGATTTATGACCTTTTGTTGTGGCGTACCACTACAGCTAACTACACCACTTCTGGGCCCTGTTTGGGAGAAACATATATGGCATGTCTGTTTTTTACCCTTGCTCTGTGCTGGTTAACAGGCTTTTTTGCACCTAATGTGGATCCTTTAAAGGGAGACTGTGTTGGAGGGATGGTGTGGCAAGAAAGCGAGAGAGAGAGAGAGAGAGAGAGGGGAAGAGATAGAGAGTGTGTATCTGTGCGTGTACTATGTAGGTGTGTGTGTATGTATGTGTGTCTGTGCCTATGTGAATTAATGACATTTTATTTTTGCGTGTCAAATTGCCAGTTGGCAACCCATCCCTTATGGGATTAATTTACACATAAACAAACAATTACAATAATTCACTGTGATAATTCAGTGATAATTTTTCTTCCGGTGTTCTCTGCAGTGCGCATCGCTTTAAGAGTAAAGAAATAAAAATTATAATAATAATACAATCAATACATGTTAATAAGGTTATCCAAACAATAGTTATATCCCTGGAGCAGTAACAAATATACATACAGTACCAGTCAAAAGTTTGGACATTCAAGGGTTTTTCTTTATTTTTACTATATTCTACATTGTAGAATAATAGTGATGTCACGACTTCCTCTGAAGCTTTCGGCAGGCTTCGGCGTTCGTCGTCACCGGCCTTCTAGCCACTGCCGCTCCGCTCCTCATCTCATCATTCCATTTGTTTTGTCTTGTTTATTACACACACCTGGTTTCAATTCCCCTCATCAGTACCTGTATAAGTGTTCCCTCTGCCCCCTTGTCTTTGTGTGTGATTGTTTATTGTGGAGGTTATATGAGCTTGGTGGAGCTCCTTGTACTTTGTATCGACATATATACGGAATAAACCTTTATTCTGTGATTTACCCTCCTGCGCCTGACTCTGTCCAAATCACACGCCACAGAATCACACACCCGCCATTGAGTCAGCAGGAGAAGAGCCCATGCCTGGAGTCGTGGCACGGGTCCACAAGCCTTCGACCACCTGCCCGAAGGACGAGAGGCGGGCGAGCGTCTGGTCCAACTGAGGCAGGGTACGAGGACCGCGCAGTACTTCGCCCTGGAGTTTCGGACCCTAGCGGCTGGGTCCGGGTGGAACAAGCGGGCCCTGATCGACGGATTCCGGTTCAGCCTGCGAGAGGACGTCCGAAGGGAGCTAGCCTGCCAGGATGCCATGTTAACCTTCGACCAGCTGGTGGACATGGCCATCCGGTTGGACAACCTGCTGGCTGCTAGAGGACGTCCTGGGAGTGGCTTGCCTGTTTCACCCACCCCCAACTCGGAGTCCATTCCGATGGAGCTGGGTGGGGTAGCGATCCGGGAGAACGGAGGAGGACAGCTTCAGTGTCACTCTTGTGGCAGAAGAGGACATTATACTGCACTCTGCCATCAGGGTTCTTCCGGGTCTGGAGGCGGCAGGCAGGGCACTCTCGCATCACCCAAGATAGCGCAAACTCACACTTGTTCAGAGCCCTCTGCTGCGCACTGCACCATACACATCACCTTCCCTGATTACACAGTAGTATCCCAGTGTAAGGCGCAGGTCGATTCAGGCGCAGCTGGGAACTTTATGGATAGGTCGTTAGCTCTAAGTCTAGGTATTCCATTGGTTCCCCTATCCACTCCACTGCCCATCAAAGCACTTGACAGTCGACCATTAGGGTCAGGGTTCGTTAGGGAAGGTACAGCACCAGTCACGATGGTTACCCAAAGGACCCATAGATTGCATGTCACATTTTTTATTATTTTGTCCCCCGATTTCCCTGTTGTGTTGGATCTTCCCTGGTTAGCACTACACAACCCCACCTTTTCATGGCCGTAGAGGTTTCTCACGGGGTGGTCGCGAGAGTTTCAGGGTAGGTGCCTAGCTGTTTCCGTTGGTGCAACCACGGTGGAAAGTCCAGACACTTCCTCTACCGTGCACATCCCCCACGAATACCTCGATTTGGCACACACGTTTTCCAAAACGCAGGCGACCAAATTACCACCTCATCGGGGCGGGGGGGATTGCGCGATAAACCTACGAGTAGACGCTGTGCCTCCCAGGAGTCATGTATATCCCCTGTTTCAGGCTGAAATGGAGGCGATGGAGACATACGTCTCCGAGTCCCTGCGCCAGGGGTTCATACGTCCCTCCACTTCGCCCGCCTCCTCAATTTTCTTTTTTGTGAAGAAGAAAGATGGAGGTCTGCGCCCGTGCATTGATTACCGAGCATTGAACAAGCGGACAATACGTTATAGTTATCCTCTGCCCCTCATCCCATCTGTGATCGAGTCAATGCATGGGGCGCTTTTTTTCTCAAAATTTGATCTCCAGAGTGCGTATAACCTGGTGCGTGTCCGTGAGGGGGACGAATGGAAGACAGCGTTCAGCACAACCACGGGGCATTATGAATACCTGGTGATGCCGTACGGTTTGATGAATGCTCCATCCGTTTTCCAGTCCTTTGTGAACGAGGTGTTTCGGGACATGCTTGGTCACGGTGTAGTGGTCTACATCGATGACATTCTGGTGTATTCCGCTACGCGCGCCGAGCATGTGTACCTGGTTCGCAAAGTGCTGGGCCGACTGTTGGAAAATGACCTTTATGCCAAGGCAGAAAAGTGTTTGTTTTTCCAGCAGTCCGTCTCCTTCCTCGGATACCGCATTACCACCTCAGGTGTGGAGATCGCATTTCAGCCGTGCGTAATTGGCCGACTCCAACCACGGTCAAGGAGGTGCAGCGCTTTATTGGCTTTGCCAACTACTATCGGAGGTTTATCCGGGGCTTTGACAAGGTCGCAGCTCCCATCACATCTCTTTTGAAGGGTGGGCCGTCTCGGCTCCGCTGGTCTGGTGAGGCTGACAGGGCCTTCAGTAACCTGAGGGTTCTGTTCACCTCAGCCCCTGTACTGGCCCATCCCGATCCATCACTACCGTTCGTAGTGCAGGACGGATGCGTCCGAGGTATTGATTGTCGCTGTCCTGTCTCAACACCCAGGCACGCCACCCAAGCTCCGCCCCTGTGCCTTCTTCTCCAAGAAGCTCAGCCCGGCGGAGCAGAACTACGACATTGGTGATCGGGAGCTGTTGGCTGTAGTCAGAGCCCTGACCGTGTGGAGGCACTGGCTCGAGGGGGCGAAACACCCTTTCCTCATCTGGACGGACCACCGTAACCTGGAGTACATCCGGGCAGCGAGGAGGCTGAACCCTCGCCAGGCCAGGTGGGCCCTATTCTTCACCCGATTTGTGTTTACTCTGTCATACTTCCCGGGTACGAAGAACATGAAGGCAGACACGCTGTCATGACTGTACCACACAGAGGAGAGGCCCATAGACAACACCCCCATACTCCCGGCCTCCTGCATTGTGGTGCCGGTAGTATGGGCGATGGACGTGGACATAGAGCGGGCAGTACGCACAGAGCCATCTCCACCTCAGTGTCCAGCTGGGCTGCAGTACGTGCCGTCTCTTGTCCGTGACCATCTGTTCTATTGGGCACACACGTCTCCCTCCTCTGGTCACCCAGGTATTGGCCGTACAGTGCGCTGCCTGACCGGAAAGTACTGGTGGCCTACCTTGGCAAAGGACGTGAGGGTGTATGTCTCCTCTTGCTCGGTGTGCACCCAGATAAGGCACCTCCCAGCGGGTAAGTTACAGCCCTTACCAGTTCCACAACGGCCATGGTCCCACCTGTGTATTGACTTTCTCACTGATCTTCCCCTCTCTCAGGGTAACACCACCATCCTGGTCGTTGTGGACCGCTTTTCAAAAGCCTGCTGCCTCCTTCCTCTGCCCAGTCTCACCACAGCCCTGCAGACGGCGGAGGCTCTGTTTACTCACGTCTTCTGGCACTACGGGGTGCCAGAGGACATAGTGTCTGACCGGGGTCCCCAGTTTACATCCAAGGTCTGTAAGGCATTCATGGAACGTCTGGGGGTCTTGGTCAGCCTGACCTCTGGGTTTCACCCCGAGTCTAATGGGCAGGTGGAACGGGTGAATCAGAATGTGGGTAGGTTCCTGTGGTCCTGCTGACAAGACCGGCCGGGGGAGTGGTCGGTGTTCTTGGCATGGGCCGAATATGCCCAGAACTCTCTTCGCCACTCCTCCACTAACCTAACTCCCTTTCAATGTTTCTTAGGTTATCAGCCGGTTCTGGCACCGTGGCATCCAAGCTAGACCGAAGCTCCTGCGGTGGATGAATGGTTTCGGCGCGTGAAGGAGACGTGGAACGCTGCTCACATTCACCCTCCAGCGCACCATGTGTCGCCAGAAGTCCAACGCTGACCGCCACCGCAGTGAGGCCCTGGTTTTTGTACCGGGTGATCGGGTCTGGCTCTCGACCCGGAATCTGCCCCTCCGCCTGCCCTGCCGGAAGCTGAGCCCGCGGTTTGTTGGGCCGTTCAAAGTCCTGATGAGAATCAACGAGGTTACCTATATGTTACTACTCCCCCCAGATTACCGTATTTACCCCTCGTTTCATGTGTCTCTCCTCAGGCCGGTGGTGGCTGGTCCGCTCCAGGAGTCTGAGGTGCAGGAGGTCCCTCCACCTCCTCTGGACATCGAGGGCCCCGGCATACTCCGTCCTTTCCATCCTGGATTTGAGGCGTCGGGTAGGGGGCCTTCAGTACTTCGTGGAGTGGGAGGGGTACGGTCCGGAGGAGCGGTGTTGGGTCCCGGTGAGGGATATCCTCGAACCCTCCTTGTTGTGGGATTTCCATCCGGCTAACCCTGCTCCGCGTCCTCCTGGTTGTCCCCGAGGCCGGTGTCAAGGTTGGGGGGTACTGTCACGACTTCCTCCGAAGCTGCCTCCTCTCCTTGTTCGGGCAGGCTTCGGCGTTCATTGTCACTGGCCTTATAGCCACTGCCGCTCATCATCTCATCATTCAATTTGTTTTGTCTTGTTTATTACACACACCTGGTTTCAATTCCCCTCATCAGTACCTGTATAAGTGTTCCCTCTGCCCCCTTGTCTTTGTGTGTGATTGTTTATTGTGGAGGTTATATGAGCTTGGTGGAGCTCCTTGTACTTTGTATCGACATATATACAGAATAAACCTTTATTCTGTGATTTACCCTCCTGCGCCTGACTCCATCCAAATCACACGCCACAAGTGAAGACATCAAAACTATGAAATAACACATATGGAATCATGTAGTAACCAAAAAAGTGTGCAAAGCTGTCATCAAGGCAAAGGAAAGGCTACTTTGAAGAATCTCAAATATAAAATATATTTTGATTTGTTTAACCCTTTTTTGGTTTCTACATGATTCCATATGTGTTATTTCATAGTTTTGATGTCTTCCTTATTATTCTACAATGTAGAAAATAGAAGGTGTGTCCAAACTTTTGACTGGTACTGTACATTTATTTTCGTCACCATCTGAACACATAACGATCCACTTGGACTGGCCAACCAAGAGGTCAAGAAAGGTAGAGCTGGCCTTGGACCAAGGTAAGGCTGCTGTCTCCCTGGGCACATGTACATTCAACACATTTTACTTTTTAGTCATTTAGCAGATGCTCTTATCCAGAGCGACTTACAGTTAGTGAGTGCATACATGTTTTATACCTTTGCACATATGCTGATTTCTCACATAGATGCACATCTTAAATCAGGTTACAGAACAGTTAACTAGGTCTAAGACCCCTAGAGATAACGAGTGCAGCAAAATCAGTAGGCTAGATATTGGTTTCGTAACAATACATATAGAATCGTGAAAATCGCAATACATGTGTGAAGTCCCTGGCAATTTCCAGCATGGATGTGTGTGTGTGTGATGTCTAGTTACTCACTGCTCCGTGAGGTTGCTGATGTATTCCTCTGTAGAATTGTCCTCCAGTAGGTCCATCAGGAGAGAGTAGGTCTGGTTGGAGGCCATGAAAGCCTTGGTCGCTATAGACTCTATACGACCAGCCATCTCTGTGTGACTGACAGATGGAGACAGAAAGAGACAAGGAATTATATGTATAGTTCAAATAGTTTTTTTATTTTTTATTTCAAATACTTCAGCTTGGCTGATCTTGTGCCGCAATGGAACCAATGGAATAGAACCAGAAATGCAAACCCTAACCGCGCCCACATAGCACTCCAGGCAAGTTTGATGAAACAGCTCAAAGTATTTGACAGAAAACCAACATGTCTGCTGAGGACAAGTCAAATGGATTCCAGGTATTGAGTTGATCTCTCTACTTCCTCTCACCAGACCTAACGTGCATTAATTCAGCATATTCAGAGGCTTTGTACTGTTGTCATTGATAGAGGGTGTCTGTGGCAGGCCAGCCATTGTGTGACTGACAGATGGAAGAGGCAGGGCCTCCATTAGAAGGAGATGACCTTTGTGTGTCATAATTGGCCATTTACTCTATTGACCTCCCGTGACTTACCTTTTCATAAGTCCCTCTGATTCGTTCACTGCAGAATTCCAGCGGTTGGGCACAGTTGTCACCTTGAAAGGAATGACCTTTGGAAAAGCAGAGCAAAGGGGGAAGAACTGAAACTGTGCAGTCTCGTAGACAAAAGAAAACTGTGAGGACAATGTTTATTCAGTTTATGCTCTGTATAGGCTGACGTCAGTTTATATTTTGAACCTGAATCGTGACCATGCACAGTTATCAGCTAACCCTACATGACCCCAGGGCCAATGTTCAACTCAGAAAGTAGAATGACTCAGAACTCACTGTTCAATAGTCATTTCAGGAAGACATACTGAAGGCTGCAATTACACACACTCACTCACTAATGTATACATAGGCAATGTTTCAACTTATCCAGCGGCAAAGTTTTTTGTTGTGGTACCAGTAGATAAATGTTGACTATTTTACTTAGTGACATTTATTTTGAGAAAATGCTCATAAAATTGAGAAAATTGAATCACAGTATATGACACGAACACACTTTCTCTTCCTATTTTGGAGCCGTTCTGCTTGTTAATGTGGAATTGTATTGCTCTGGCTCCAGGCTTGCCCAAACGATGGGGGAAGTAAGGTATGTGCACGCACGCACACACACAACCACCCATAGCACTGTCAAAACAAGCTCTCTCATTTCCCCAGAACCACATAACATGGCAAACATATTCATAATAGATTCCAAGTTGCCGCTATTGAGCGTGAGGAGACGGGGAAAAGCTTGAGCTGTGGTAACAGAACAAATCATTCATTTCAGCCGAGCGTTGGTCATAGAAACTGTGTGTGCTCGCTCTCACTCGATTTTTGAGATATGGAGCTTCAGATTGAGAAATACTGTGCTTTAGGGATCACTATTGATCAATACATGTAAACCTCTACTGAATAACCACTAATAACTAATCAGTATCATTTTCAAATGAAAAAATTTAAAAATACTTTAAATGGATAAATAACTACAGACCTCCATAAGTTTATGTAGTGTGATCACTATATGTGCATGTATGCTACTGCTTATAACAATGTCAAACTATACTGAACAAAAATATAAACGCAACATGCAACAATTTCAAAGATTTTACTGAGTTACAGTTCATATCAGGAAATCAGTCAATTGAAATACATTCACTAGGCCTTAATCTATGGATTTCACATGACTGGGAATACAGATACTGTATGCATCTGTTGGTCACAGATACCTTTAAAAAAAAGGGTAGGGGCGTGGATCAGAAAACCAGTCAGTATATGGTGTGACCACCATTTGCCTCATGCAGCGCAACACATCTCATAGAGTTTATCAGGCTGTTGAGTGTGGCCTGTGGAATGTTGTCCCACTCCTCTTCAATGGCTGTGTGAAGTTGCTGGATATTGGCGGGAACTGGAACACGCTGTCGTACACGTCGATCTAGAGCATCCCAAACATGCTCAATGGGTGACATGTCTGGTGAGTATGCAGGCCGTGGAAGAACTGGGACATTTTCAGCTTCAGGAATTGTGTACAGATCAAACATGAGTTGATGGCAGCGGATGAATGGCACGACAATGGGCCTCAGGATCTCGTCACGGTATCTCTGTGCAGTCAAATTGCCATCGATAAAATGCAATTTTGTTCGTTGTCCGTAGCTTATGCTTGCCCATACCATAACCCCACCAACATCATGGGGCATTCTGTTCACAACGTTAACATTGATTGTGATTTTTCAGTAGACTATAGTTAAATCTCTTCAGACTCAGTAGACTATAAGATAAGCATAGTTAATCACAACATGACGGACACGGAGCCAAGGTTAAACATGGGTACATCTCTGCTGCTAGGCAAGAACTTAATTGGTTCCTCTCACTGGTGTAGTCATTACCCTGCCTGGTATGTGAAATAGGACTGTTTATTCTCTTTTCATCTGACCTGTCTTCGGGTCAAATTCCTCGCTCCTCCTTAATCCACAGCTGTCCTGCCTTATCAGTGACTGAAACCAGGCTGTTGCCCTTTGCCTCTCTCTGTCAGCGGGTGCTGTAGGTGGGTGTGGTGTGGGAATCAGGCGCAGGACGCAGAAGATAAGTCCAAAAGACTTTAGTAATGCACACTCAAAACACGATCCAACAGCCCGGAAGCGAGAAAATGCGCACACAGGCGTAAACAAAAGGGCGCACTAAACGTGCGAAAAATACTCTCCTACACAAAGGAGGCAAGCTACAATAGCGCACTGTAAATAGTAGCGCACCAACACGACAGCGAAAACAATCACACACAACACCTGACAAACACAACAAGAATTTATAGGACACTAATGACGCTAAACGACAACAGGTGTACATAATCCAGACAAAACCAAACGAACATAGAAACATACAACGGTGGCAGCTAGTATTCCGGAGACGACGAACGCCGAAGCCTGCCCGAGCAAGGAAGAGAGGCAGCCTCGGCCGAAACCGTGACAGTACCCCCCCCTTGACGCGCGGCTCCAGACGTGCGCCGACTCCGGCCTCAGGGACGACCAGGAGGACGCGGAGCAGGGCGCGTCGGGTGACTACGGTGGAATTCTGTCAGGAGAGACGGGTCCAAAATGTCTCTCCTCGGCACCCAGCACCGTTCCTCCGGGCCGTACCCCTCCCACTCCACCAGATATTGGAGACCCCCCATCCGACATCTCGAATCCAAGATGGACCGCACGGAGTACGCCGGTGCCCCCTCGATGTCCAATGGGGGCGGAGGAGTCTCCTTGATCTCATTTTCCTGGAGTGGGCCAGCTACCACCGGCCTGAGAAGAGACACATGGAACGAGGGGTTAATACTTTTATACTCAATAGGTAGTTGTAATCTGTAACACACCTCGTTCAATCTTCTCAGGACTTTAAACGGCCCCACAAACCGCCGACCCAGTTTCCGACAGGGCAGGCGGAGGGGCAGGTTTCTGGTAGAGAGCCAGACTCGATCACCAGGTGCGTACACCGGTCCCTCACTGCGGTGGAGATCGGCGCTCGCCTTTTGACGACGGAGGGCCCGCTGCAGGTGGACGTGTGCAGCGTTCCACGTCTCCTCCGAGCGCCGCACCCACTCATCCACCGCAGGAGCCTCGATCTGGCTCTGCTGCCAAGGTGCCAGAACCGGCTGGTAACCTAACACACATTGGAAAGGGGTTAGGTTAGTGGAGGAATGGCGTAGGGAATTCTGGGCCATTTCTGCCCAGGGAACGTACCGTGCCCACTCCTCCGGCCGGTCCTGGCAGTATGATCTAAGAAACCTACCCACATCCTGGTTCACACGTTCCACCTGCCCATTACTCTCCGGATGGTAACCCGAGGTGAGGCTCACCGAGACCCCCAACCGCTCCATAAAGGCTCTCCAGACTCTGGAGGTGAATTGGGGACCTCGATCAGACACAATATCCTCGGGTACCCCGTAGTGCCGGAAAACATGGGTGAATAGAGCTTCGGCGGTCTGTAGGGCAGTAGGAAGGCCCGGCATAGGGAGCAAACGACAGGCCTTAGAGAACCGGTCCACAACGACCAGTATAGTAGTATTCCCCTGTGAGGGAGGAAGGTCAGTGATGAAGTCCACCGAGAGGTGAGACCATGGTCGTTGTGGAACGGGCAGGGGTAGTAACTTACCCCTAGGCAGATGTCTAGGCGCCTTACACTGGGCGCACACCGAGCAGGAGGAGACATAAACCCTCACATCCCTCGCCAACGTGGGCCACCAGTACTTAGCACTAAGGCAGTGCACTGTCCGGCCTATACCAGGATGTCCAGAGGAGGGTGACGTGTGAGCCCAATAGATCAATCGATCCCGAACCTCGAGCGGAACGTACGTCCGACCCTCCGGGCATTGAGGAGGACTAGGGTTGGTGCGCAACGCCCGCTCGAGTTCAGCATCGACCTCCCACACTACCGGTGCCACCAGACAAGACTCCGGCAGTATGGGAGTGGGCTCCACGGACCTCTCCTCCGTGTCATACCGCCGAGACAGTGCGTCTGCCTTACCGTTCTGTGACCCAGGGATGTATGTGATCTTAAATACAAACCGGGTCAAAAACATATTCCACCGCGCCTGGCGAGGGTTCAGTCTCCTAGCTGCCCGGATGTACTCCAGGTTACGGTGGTCAGTCAAAATGAGGAAAGGGTGTTGAGCCCCCTCAAGCCAGTGCCTCCACACCTTTAGGGCCTGTACCACGGCTAACAGCTCCCTGTCCCCTACGTCATAATTTCGCTCCGCCGGACTGAGCTTTTTGGAATAAAAGGCACAGGGGCGGAGTTTAGGTGGCGTGCCGGACCGTTGCGAAAGCACGGCTCCTATACCGGCCTCTGACGCGTCCACCTCTACCTGAAATGGTAAAGAGGGATCCGGATGCGCCAGCACCGGAGCCGAGGTAAACAGGTCCTTCAGCCTCCCAAAAGCCCTGTCCGCCTCGGCTGACCACTGCAAACGCACCGGACCCCCCCTTCAAAAGAGACGTTATGGGAGCTGCCACCTGTCCAAAACCCCGGATAAACCTCCGGTAGTAATTCGCAAACCCCAAAAACTGCTG